TATGGTAAGAAATGCAATCAGACATCATTTTGTGATTATTTTCTTTTTGCTTCTCTGGTATTTAATGCACTATGCAAGTAGGCCTACATACAGTATATTATGTTGTACAGCCTATCCATGTACAGTCAACCTGCTTTAGCGACCACCTGTCTACAAAGACCACATTTTTGTTTTCCCTTGAAAATGGACCTATTGAAACATGTACTAAAGGAACCTTTACATAAAGACCACTTTTGTGGTGGTCTTTAAAGACAGGTTTCGCTGTTCATGTATCAGAGAGGAAATATTAGGTTCATATCATGGTTGGAAATAAGGCATTTTATTCTATAGTTGTCTCTAAAGTTCAAACCCTGGTGTAGAATACTGAGAACCTGTTAGGAACTAATCCCTTGAATGCTTTAAGTGATGCAAAGGCTTGTTCAGATATGGCGTGGTAAACCACAGTAGAAGAGCTATGGCTTATTTACGCCTCCGCTACAAAGTAGCCCGAGGCATTATGTTTTCGGGTTGTCCGTCCGTCCGTTCATACGTACGTACGTCCCATTCTCGTGATCGCGTTATCTCAAGAACCAATTGATGGATTCCCGCCAAACTTGGGTCATGTATGTATCTTGCAGAGCCAATGAACTGAATAGATTTTGGGGTCACGAGATTCAAGGTCAAAGGTCACAGGACTCATTATGTATGCAAAAATAGCTTGTGATTGCTTTATCTCAAGAACCCATTGATGGATTCCCGCCAAACTTGGGTCATGTATGTATCTTGCAGAGCCAATGAACTGATTAGATTTTGGGGTCACGAGATTCAAGGTCAAAGGTCACAGGACTCATTATGTATGCAAAAATAGCTTGTGATTGCTTTATCTCAAGAACCCTTGATGGATTCCCGCCAAACTTGGGTCATGTATATATCTTGCAGAGCCAATGAACTGATTAGATTTTGGGGTAATGAGGTCAAATGTCAGAAGTCACAGGGCTCATGATGAATGCAAAAATAGCTCGCTTCTGTTTTGGTTTGTAAAATTGCTCCATGGCGGAGGCATCATTTTCGACTGCGCGCGGTCGAAGGTCCATCTAGTTTAAAACATGTCGAATGAACGGCAACTGCGCGCAACTAAGGACTTTTGCATTTTCACTGAGCTCTGTGTTATAAGAAAGAGAAATCTGAAGCGTAATACACTTAACGTCATCACAAAATGCAGCGGTTTTGCAGAGTCAAGGTTGTTTGTTATGCAATTTAAAGGGGAACACATCAAAATATCATGTTATTGCATGTACATCATGGACCACGACCCCTCTACTACATACCATTTCATTAAATAATGCATACCCTGCTATATTTTGAAAGGATCACATAATGTATGCCCATATAAAGATATTCATTTTGTTTATGTACAGGGTATGGAGGAGATCTTGAAATGTTTCATAAAAGAGGATACACCAGAAATGAACAGACAAATTCATTTCATCATCAAACAACTCAACTCAGGTCTGTGGTCTGTTATCTTTTATGATTCTTTTCAATATTATCATACATGTACATCTTGCTTGGTACTGTATTCTATGATCTTTTCTTCTACTCTCTTGCTCTTTTGGCATCCTCATCATACAAAACTGATTTCCTTTAACTTACCCAACCAAAGCTATTTTACCATTACTGTAATTGTCTATGATTATGACTATTTCTTTTTGTAAACTGATCTTTAAACTTTTTACCAGTGGAAAACGAATTTCCAAATGGATGATAAATGCTTAATTTCATTTAATTCCCATATGTACATGTGTTTTCAGAAAAGGTACTTGTGTCACCTACAATAATGCACAGAATTTGACTAACATTATTCGGGCAGCAAGATAACAACAAATATTCATTGACTGACATGTTTAAAAGAATAATAAATTTGTACATCAATAACAAAGTTTTATTTAATTCTAACATTATGTTTCTTGTTGTTGTTTGTTTTGTTTTGTTTTTGTATTTTTTTAAAACTTCTTTTGGAAAACACAAGATGTTATAGGGAAATAGGGAAACAGTGCACAAATCAGCATTGGCAATTCAAATGATACATTGTTCCTTCTGTAATCTTTGTACATTTATATATTCTTTCTACAGATGTGATAGGAGACGAGGTGGATTCAGATGACGAGGATGATGAGGACGAGGTTTGTTTTTATTTAACAATTTGCGTAGATTCTGTATAGGCAAGGAGTATCCTGGTCTACATTTAATAATGCTTAAAAGTGTAACATCTGTAGAAAATAAGTCTTGTAAACAGGACTATTTTAGAGCCATGATTTGCTACATGAATTTAATCTAATACAAATTATGTTGACTCCCGTAAAGGGACAGAGCTGTGTTTTATAAGAGCGATGTGGTAACAGGCTTTCAGACCTCATTGCAACTTAGAATCAGAAAAAAATTAATGTATTATGTTCTTCAGTTTTTCCATTGGGTATTTTTTAATTTTTGTCTGTATGTAATTAGATTTTTATTTAGTTATATCAATCAACTGATTATTGATGTTGATAATGATACTATTGATCATTTATGAGCTCTAAAAAAAAAAATACAATATAACAGAGTGTGAAGAGAAACATGAAATACATAGATTCATAAAAAGTAGTAAATCAAATTAAGTTACTAAGGAAAGAATTATGTTATAAGGGATCTTTTGAAAGAGGCAGGACAGGTTAAACATCTGATGAAAGTGTGATGTTGTTTCATGGTTTCAAGCACCCATTGTCAAAAAAAATTCAGTAGATGAGGATCTGGATTTGGGAATAATTAGTTTCTATTTGTCAGTTGTCAAGCAAAGGTTAAAAGCTGATATTTATATATTGGAGGGTGTCATTAAGATATTGATATTGATGTTTCAATGTTTTAATGTAAGAGTGCTAATCAAGAGTTTGTAAATGTCTGTAAAGGAAAGGCAATTGTTCATATATTGCATCATAAATGCATAGCTGCCAACCATTCCTACATTGTACATATATTTTGGAGGAATGATTCCTACTTTTGGGTCTTCAAATTTAAGTTAGAACCCTGGATTCCTCTCTTTTTCTCAAAAGCTCTGTGCAAAATATTTACAAAATTGACTGTATTCCTAATTTTGCCATGAGAGATTCCTAATTACTGCTGTGAACATAAAAGGTTGGTAGGTATACGTATGTATAAACAAGAAACAGAAAATCAATTTAAGCTAAGAAAGATAACCAACAATCTTTTTCAAGACTACCAACAGTACTTTTCAGAACTGCACACACTCAAGAAAGAAAGATTACAGAGAGTCCTTTCCAGGTCTCCCCAATCTTCCCCCTCTCTCACATGGTGCAACCGCAAGCTTACTGTATAAGAAAATGAAGTTGTGAAGAGTCCATAATGATGTGGATTTTTCTATTGTTTGTAGGAGGACCAAGACCAAGATGCTATGGAAGCTGACCTTGATAAAGCTGAGGTCATCACAGTACAGGACGGAGAACTAGTAGGAGAAAAACTACTCATGGCATATTATATGTGGGTAAGTTATCACGAGTATAGGATCTATATAAAGCTGAAGCAGCTAAATCACATCAAGAACAGCAGGAGACAAACTGGGGCCCGTTACACAAAACTTACCATTGATGGTAACTTTGCCATCAATGGTAACTACCATGGAAACCTTGATTTTGATTGGCTGTTGAGTCCTGTTACCATGGTAATTGTCATTATGCAACAGGCCCTGGTATTCTGTATGTGGATGAGTAGAGTTGTTATTGTAAAGTGGCCCAAACATTTGTCTTGAGATGTGAAGGCCATTTGTTTGAGAGCTGGTATGATACCAATGTCCTCTGGCAAGAACGAGGACCTGCATTTGCCATGCTTTACCCAGGTGTAGTCATATTTCGTTTCGGTAATGTAACTAAATTTAATGCACACATCGTTGTGAAGTGCCTCCATACAAATTATTTGATTCACCTATTACGAATAATTATATCTCAATAGTCAGAATGCGAATTGCATGCATTAGTTGATGCTAGGTAGAATAAACCTGGTTTGCCCTACCTAACAACATGTAACATATAGGGACTTCACATAGACGTGTGCATTAAATTTGATTACATTACGAAACTGGCATATTCGGTACCTGGTAGGATTTATCTGTTGATAAGGGGATAAAGGTTGTTAGAACTAAAGCGGAATGATTGGAATGTGATAAGTGCTCTACCAGAATAAAATAACTATTAGGTGAGTCCGGAATAGCTGCTTTCTGGTCAACATCTCCAATTAAGTTTTGCTTTCTTCAAATTAAAGTAAAACATAATTTAACAAAGAAATAAATGATAATCGTAGATAAAAGCATATACATTCAATGGTGTAGAAAAAGTTAATATTGAAGATATTTGGGACTGATAAAGAACAATCAACACATCAAAGGTGAATCCCTTTGAAGATTTTAATCACAAAAGCTTCAGGTCACAGTGTTAAACGTTTAAGAGTATGCATGGATATAAAAACTCACTCATCAAATGAATACCGATCATACAACAAATAAAAAAATGAATCCTGTCAGTAGGTGAAGATAGAAAACCAGATCGATAAGACAGGAGTTGACGTGTACACGGGTTGATGTAGATTCATGAACATGTACATTTCTTCTGATGTAGGATGGAAGAACAGCTTCAAGAAGTGGAAGTCCGCAATCCACAAGGCCTACCAGTAAACAAAGGTAAGAACTTCATCTATTATTTTTTTTATTTTAACCCGTTTCTACCTACATGGCCCTGTTTCACATAACTTGTTATCAATAACAAGTTACAATAGCTGTTATAATCTACTGAAATTGTGGCATTTGATTGGCTGAGAGCAAATTTGTCATAGAAATATAGCATTTGTCATTGATAACAAGTTTGATGAAACAGGGCCAAGGCTTAGTGTGTATACAGTGTAAGTGCACTTATATCATCCACACACTGGGAGAAACAGTAAATTGTGTATATGTATTTGAAGAATGCAAAAACTTTTCACATGTTACTGTTTCAATATATGATTAAACTGAAAATGTCCTGGGGTCATATTTTGTTAAAAACTTTGATTCATGGCCATTATTTCAAAATAAAACCTATAGAGTTTCTTACATAATGCATTTTCACAATAATGTTATTTAATCATTTAAATGACTTTGATACATATGTGTTCTTTACCCTTGGAATGTAAGTGTCTGACAATAGAGAGCTGTTGACTTGATTCATTTCTTTTCTTCTAGTGTTATGGAGCCCTCACATCCCAGTGGTACAAATGGTCAGGTAAAAAATAATTTCTTTAGTCTTATTTTCTTTCTTTTGTCTTCCTCTCTCTCTCTCTCTCTCTCTCTCTCTCTCTCTCTCTCTTCCTCTTCAATTATTCTTTCTCTTTCATTACTCTTGTTTAACTTTCAGTACGCACAATTACGGTTTCAATCTTTTTCATTTAATCTGGTAGAGGCAAGCCATATTCTTTACAGCTAATTAAATCAGTGTTCGATCTTTAAATTGGCAACAGTAATACTTTCTGTTTGCTTATATTACATTTACATTCTTTCAACAAAATGTTATGTTTTTCTCGTTTCATGAAATTTACCTACCAGTATTGTAATTATACATGCATGTATATTATAATAATATTATGGTTGATGGTGATGATTAATGTTATCATGTACAGCGTTTGAGGGAATATACAGTTTATTTTCATATAAAAGTTGTTGCATATTAATTCGAAAGTTGCAGTGGAAAGGGCCATTTTTGTAATGTAATCAAATATACTGGATAAATCTTTGTTAAGTGCCTCGTTACAAATTCTTTCGTTCACCTCTTACAAATAAATGTTAATTCAATAGTCAATTTAATAGGCAAGTCGTAGTATTTGTCCTACCTAGCAACAAATAATGCATGCAATTTGCATTCTGACAATTGAAATACATTTATTTGTAAAATGCGAACGAAATAATTTGTAATGAAGAACTTAAAAGCATTGTTTAACGATGTTAAATCTGAGATGCATGGCTTTACGTGTTACCAGTGTCTGTGATATGGTGTAACATTGAAGCCCTAAAATAATTGCGCTTCAAAATTATCATGAAGTGCCTCAAAAAAGTAAAAGTCTTTTAGTGACCAGTTTTTACCATACTCATTTTCCCCAATAGACTGTAGTGTAATAAAAACCGTTAGGAAAACAAAAAAATTAAATTTTGATTTCCAATCATAAGTAGGCCTATCTTGATAATCAGACAGGCGATCGGCTTGTAAAAGTCATGGGATTCCTGACCGACCTAAAGGTTTGTAATTATGAGTGCAGCATGAGCTAAATCCAGGATTTTGTTTCAGAATCTGAGGCAATATTACTGAGTCACTTTAACAAAGATTATTACTAAGATGGCGTATTGTGTTGTGATGTTTGTAGATCTCTAGACCTCAGACGAGTAGTGGAAGCCGAGCAGGATCAGCCCAAGCTCAACGAGGTGCTTCAGCACATGAGCCAGCAGCGTCAGGTAAATGACATTCGTTCATTATCATATCCTCTTTTAAAGGGGTGGTCACGCATACAGAGAATAAGGTGGTTAAGCATTATAGTGGAAGCTTCTGTAGATTTATATAACCTTATGTGTTGTATTAAAGTACTGTTATAATTTCATAGATATGTCTAAATATGAGAAAATGAAATAATATTATTATTTCTGCATCCTTTTAAGGTTTAAGGTACTGATCTCCAATTTTCAAAATATGAGCTCCCAAAATAAAACTTCTATAAAGAGATATTGCAAGTTGAAATACTCTATCAATTAATATAAAAGTAACTTGTGTAAAGACTACTTGATGCACCCATACACCTACTCATAGAAAAAGGATCATGCTGAACCTAAGTCTGACTATGTGTGTCAGGTTTCATGTTATTCTTCATATTCTTCTTTTTCATAGCTCATAGGATGCCAGATTTTAGTTTTTTAAGATTGATTTTATATATTCTTTGTGTACACAAATTTTCTTATAAGGTGATTGGTACTCGTCAATAGTGATTCGTACACTTATGAATTATCTTTGAAGGTAATTGGTAAACTTCTACGTTCTATTATTTCTATAAGAATTAATGATCCATCTAATCTATTGTTTTTTGTGATTTATCAGGAGATCCATCGGAAGAGAACGAGTCTGAACCAGCTCAACCCCACCCAGACAAACTAGCCACACCAGTCAAAAATAAATTCACTGGCAGGTGGGTCATTAGCTTTTTTAACATTCATTCATTTCAAGAATTTACCTCAAATGAAACATTCATATCTATTGGCAATCACAGAAAAATATTTCAGCTGTTAAAGCTTTGTCGTCCCAAAATTAAAATTTTATCACACCACCACTCTGGCTTAAATAAAACTTGGGTGTGTTTTCTTAATTTTAGAACATCACACTAGTTATTATGACCTTAGTAATTGTAGATATATTTGTCAAACACTTGTTTTTACTTTTATTATTATTTATTATTAATATTATTATTATTATTTTTATAATATTATTATTAAATTTTTCATTGATATTGTTATTTCAAAATATCACTCTAGTTATTCTGACCAACGTAATTCTATTTTGTAAATATATTTATCCTCCTCAGAGTTGGAGAGTATGACAATGCCTTTGGGAGCAAGCCCAAGATCCCAAGAACTCCGGAGCCAGGAAATAGACCAGCGAGCAGGGGCATGACCCCGCCCCCTCCTATCAAATCATCCGATTCCCCTCCCCTTAGCAGACCAGGCACAGGAACAAGCAGACAGAGTAAGTCAAACACCTCCAAAATTGTCCCGAAATCAGTTAATGGATCGGCATTGTAATATTAATAATAATAAAAGTAATAATAATCTTTTTAGTCCACTCCCAATTTTATTAAACCGAAACGGAAATTCTTTTTGCCCAATATTGATCGTGAGCCCGGCAGCCACTGAGCAGCGCCAGATCGACGTTGCTCTATCCCTTATTGTTGAACGCCAAACAAGGTAGCAGCAACTCCCATCTTTTCACGTCTTTTGGTATGACGCGGCCCGGGTTCGAACCACGACCTCCTGGTTGTGAGGCGGACGCTCTACTGACTGAGCCAACACTCCGGTATTTCTCTCCGTCTTCATTTACTACATGATGCTCAATCATTCATAACAATCTTTCAGCCCTGTGTTATTGATATTGACATTATGTATGTAAAAAATGTATTTCTTACACAGTCATTTTACTTTGTGCTCCTTTTGCCAAGCTGTCACTTTAGATAAATGTGTTGACCTCTCTGCCCATTATTATTTGATTAGTCTTCAAAGTTTGCATGCATTTATAATTTATTTTTATTTCGGTTTTTCTGCATATCGCATGTCTCTTTCACTGAATTACATATGTTTATTCATACCTTTATTTTCTGGTCAAGGTAGTATTGTTACAGTCATATTCACATCATTTCCTGTCCCAACTCTTCCTTTTTTTTACCCAATATTTGAAGTTTAGAGCTACTTTATTTGTCAAGTCTATACATGTTATTTTTTCACCCTCTCGGTCAATCAGGGAAACGTAATGCTCAGACACTTCCTCCTGTGGAAAATGTGGAGTTGACAGATCAAGCTCTTCCAGCGTTGAGTCACCCTCCCTCAAGAGAAGGTAGCTGTAAGAGAGTGACTCACTAACCACATATATCTTGCCATGTATATCGCTGTTACTAACAGGGAGGACAACCAAAAGAACTACTGGATGACTAAATGGTTCAACATGCTATGCTGTGATGTAATATTTCATTGGTGTTAGGGCATGTACTCAAATATGCATAGATGTATCAACAGCTGCTTGGTTGAAAATAAAAACACATTTTAAATATGGCAGGCTTTATTTTATACTTTCATTTTTTTTTGCAGTGAGTTATATGTTGACTATGGTGTTAAAGCAATCATTTTCATGTATTTTTGTCTGCATTCGCAAGCATAACAAAATTATATTCTGCTTGCAAAACGATCATACAGCCACAATTTGGGTTTTTCTTATTATTTCACACACTTTTACATAGATGAAAGAAAACTTGTACTAAAGGATATGAAGTTAATTGATTCCAATCACTTTCGTGAATTTTTCTGATGTGACATCTCTCTTCTATTACTCTTTCTCTTCATTCTTGCTTGCTCTCTCTCTCTCTCTCTCCATTTATCTTTCTTTCCTATTGCTAACTCTTTTCCTGTTCCTCTGCCTCATTCTTTGTCTCTGTCTGTATTTCTCTCCCCCTCTCTCTATCTTTATCATTGTTTCTTTATCTCTGTTTGTCTGTCTTTCTCTCCCTCTCTCTCTCTCTCTCTCTCTCTATCATTGTTTTGTCTCTGTCTGTCTGTCTTTCCGCCTCTCTCTTTCTCATTGTTTCTTTGCTCTGTCTGTCTGTCTCTCTTTCTAATTATTTCTTTGCTCTGTCTCTCTCTCCCTGTTTCTGTCTCTGTCTCCGTCTCTCCCTCTCTATCTTTCTCATTGTTTCATTGTCATTAATATGATATATACTCTGTCATGTCTGTCTCTCTTTCTCTCCATCTGTCTCTCTCACTCTGTCTCTGTCTCTCCCTCTCTATCTTTCTCATTGTTTCATTGTCATTAATATGATATATACTGTCTCTGTCTGTCTCTCTCCCTCTGTCTCTGTCTCCATCTCTCTCTCTCTCTCTCTCTATCTTTCTCATTGTGTCATTGTCATTAATATGATATATACTCTGTCTCTGTCTGTCTGTCTCTCTCTCTCTCTCTTTCTCTCCATCTGTCTCTCTCCCTCTGTCTCTGTCTCCATCTCTCTCTCTATCTTTCTCATTGTTTCATTGACATTAATATGATATATACTCTGTCTCTGTCTGTCTGTCTCTTTTTCTCTCCATCTGTCTCTCTCTCTCCCACTCCCTCTCTCCATCTCTATCATCCTCATTGTTTCATTGTCATTAATATGATATAAACTTGATTTCTAGATGCGTTGGCTACGCCTGAGAGTTCCATCAGTATTTACATCAGTGATCACGGAAGCACACCCTCCAACTACTCCAGATCCAGACTAGGCTCCGTCAAAAGTAATCATTCTCTACCTACCCAGTCTAGTTCCATATAATAATGATAATAATAATAAAATGCACTTATATTGCGCCATCTATCTAGTAGACTATTCTGAGGCGCATTGTGAAATTAAGAAATTTGGAAGAAGAATCCCACCGCTGCCACCATGACAGTAAAGATAACACTCCAACAAAAAAATGTGTTCATACAACAGAAATGTCTTTAGGTTAGAATCAAGAATCAAGAATTTCTAAGGACTGTATTTGAGCTGGTAATTGATTTTATAAACATGGTGCAACAGTTGAGAAAGCTCTATATAATTCATCCCCATATACCCCATTTCTAGTAGTCTACATATGAAAGCCATAAGGGCATTAGCTGTACCGGTATGTAAAATTCTTTTAGTTAATGCCCTTTTGGCTCTAGAATTAGAAGAATTAGAGTTAGTAGTGGAAGAAGAAGGAAGAACAAGAAGAACAAGAAGAACAAAAATTGAAAGAAAAAGAACAAGAAGAACAAGAAGAAAAATTGAGAGAAAAACAAGAAGAACAAGAAGGAGAAGAACAAGAAGACGAAGAAGTAGAACAAGAAGAACAAGAAGGGAAAAAAAATCAGAATAATGTAACATCTAAAGCATTTCTTTATTTCAGTTTATAACATGAAACCTGAGTGCTTAGCGTTGAGGACTGGAGAAAATTAAAACTTGAGTTCTATTCTTTGTAGGTGTAAGATCAGTTGTGAGCCCAGGGGAATTCGATAGGAGTCCACCAGCATCTGCAGCAAGTAAGGTTTAAGACTGCAGTGCTGCATACTAACAAACATTGACCATGATGCTAACATATGTTGACATGCACTGCACAGCACTTTAGTAGGTCACAGGATTTAACAAACTGATTTGGTATAAAAATAAAAAAAATAATCATGTTTTTATTAAATTAAAAGTCTGTTGACTGAAAGGGAGGCCAATCTTTATGTATATATTTATAAATATGAAATAAAGAATAGCTTAGAGTATATCTTCTTCAACAAGTATATATACTTATTGAGATTCATTCATGATAATGCTTTAACATTAACTTGGATGTACAGAAGTAGTTACTGCACATGGAACACTTGCACATTATTGTAATACATTCATGTAATAGAGATAAGTTATGTACATGTTATATATACTGTAATTATATAGTTACTTCGTGAAGGGTTTGAAGTCTTTGCTATCAAAATACTACATTCCTGCTTTGGCAAGATGTTGATTAATGATGTCTGTGAGTCTAGAAGAGTTGTGTAGGAATTTTTGATCTATGAAAATTAACAGTACACTGTAAGCTGTACCTTTATTACAGGTCTATTCGAAAGTATGTACAACGTTTTGTTCAAGATCATCGCAGTTTTAAACAAGAGGTATTCATGTACACACTGGCTCTATTAAGCTCATGTTTTACTACAAACATTGACTCAATATGTTACAAGTTAAAGAATGGTTGCAAAAGTTTGAGATATGATCCATGAAAGTAATTGCATTTTTATATTTCAGTAACATCGCACATTCCTGAGAAACATAAACGAGTCATAGGAAATAATGTGCTGAATTATAGCTTTTATTTAGCAGCTTTGATATAGGAATTTCGTATTTATTGTAAATTTTCTCCTGCATAAATTTATTCTCTCTTTGATTTCAAAATGATATCTTTTATCCCACCATGCAACTGAAGGTGTGAGAGCGGACCAAGTATCACCCATTCATAGGAAGCCTCAGAGTAAGACTAGTCTGCTACCAGAGTTCCGATGCACTTCACATCACTCCTTTTTGAACTTTTTTTTTCCTTTTTTTTTTCTTTAAATTTTTTGTTGTTGAGCTTTTACACCCTGTATAACATTTTTTGTTACCGGTTTGCTGTTACCTTCTGCTTAAATTTGCACTGTATTCTATATTACATGAGGTACGCAGATGTTGCTATTTCATGCCACTACAATGCAGATACAGTAGTCGGTATTGAAGTGCCTTGATGCTTGGCCTTGGTCTAGGTCTAGTATGCCTTAGCCTTGGATTTGATCTTGTTTGCCTTAGCCCTGGTCTTGGTCTTGTATGCCTTGGCCTTGGTCTTGGTCTTGTTTGCCTTAGCCTTGGTCTTGTATGCCTTAGCCTTGGTCTTGGTCTTGTGTGCCTTAGCCTTGGCCTTGATGGTCAAATTACATGTAGTATGTGCTGACATATTTTACTACTCATAAAAATGAAATTACTCAATTATTTCAACTGTTGGTGCTACTTCAGTTACTGCTTCTAATTATTACTTTTATAAGTTTGTCTTCTTTAATTCACACATATATAATCATCCTTCCTCCTGTTCTGTGTCATCTGTCATGTGTCATCATGATATTAATGCTTCCAATTTGCAGTGAATTAACATGCACGGTTTTGCTTTAGAAAACTGATATTTAATAATAATAACTTTATCACATACAGGAATATTCAACTCGTGAAGGTGAACATCAAAAAGGCCTACAACAATGGAATTGCTATTTCTTTTTTTTAAAGATGATATTTTTTATGTGATTGTGTGAACTTTCTTCATCTCTCTCTCATCAATTTTCTTTATAAGTCGTTTAATTGTTGGATGTTCGAGACATATCAATCTAGTGAAAAGTATGTCATATGCATTATGCCTGAGTGAATGAATCTGGTAATGACATTCGTAGTCAAGTGTAATTATGAAGTGCAAGATAACTGCTATAACTCCAGCATACTTTACACTTTTGAAATCCAACCTTTCTTCACAAAAAATTCCCTAAAACAAAACTCCCTCAACAAAATTTGTCAATCTTGGTATCATTTTTTGTGTGAAAATTTCTCCTTCTGCTGGTACCAGTCAATTTTAAACCATATTATTGAAAGTATGCTAGGTTTTTTTCTTCTGTTCTTTTTTGGGAGGGGGGCCCAATGTATAAGGGGTGATCAGAAGGATCACAGGGGGGTGTTTCACAAAGATCCTAAGTTGGACTTAACAATTATGGAAAGCTGTTAGCATCTTTAAAAATATTTTGTAAAAGTTATTTTAAAAGGCATAAAATGTTGATTCAAATCATTCATTTTTGGTATTATCAAGGAGATTTTATGTTCTTGATGTGGAATGTAAGAAGTCTAAAATATTGCTTTTGAATATATTTTATTTTAAGGCTACAAATGGCTCTCCATAATGTTTGAGTCCAAAAAACTTAGAGTTAATTTAGACTTAGGATCTTTGGGAAACACACCCAAGATCGCAATAGTCTAGTGGTATTGTCCTTGATTATTCTAATCCCACCGCTGCCACTGACAGTAAAGCTAATGCTCCAACCACAATAGTTATGGTTACCGCTTACCTGTCCATATATGGAGAACAAGGTGTGGCACCGAACAGGGCAGAGGTCAACACTTTTTAGCTGATCATAACAATGAATAATGTTAATGTAGAGAGAAGCATTACACATTGACATTGGATTTAATTTTAGTATTTGCGATCATGTTTCTACGAAAGTTTGTTATTTGGAAAATGTTTTTTTGTTTTAATCTTCAGGTGCTGCCTCAAGAAGACAAGGCAGTGCTGGATCGTCTGGTAGAAATAAATGATGACAGGTGACTTGATGTGGAGTGCTCAATGGTGTACACCATGCTTGATTGACACGTCATGAAGCATCCTCACTACAGTGGAACCTGTTTAGAAAGACCACCCAAATATTAATGAGATGTTATATACTAGTGGTTGTTAAGGTACAGTGAAACCTGTTTATAGAGATCACACAAGGGAGACAAGAAAAGTGGTCTTTATAGGCAGATGGTCTTTATGAACAGGTTCCTTTAGTACAGGTTTGTTAGAGAAACAATTGTCAAGGGAAAAATTAAAATGTGGTCTTTATACAAAGGTGGAGGCTAAAGCAGGTTTCACTGTATCTAACTGAGAAATATTGTTTGCCATTTAGAGGTGTTGTAGTCGAGTAGATACGTCATGGACTGTGGATCACAAGGTCCGCGGCTCAAGTCCCACCGCGGCACCAATGTCCTTTAAAGACATTAAGCTACATTTGCCACACTTGTCCCAGGTGATGTAAAGGAATACCTGGCAGGAATTAATTCATTGAAATGCTAGAGCACCGTAATGGCAGCCATGCTAAAGCCGCTGTAATAATCGGGAGCGCCAGGAGTGTCAGGTATGACAGATATGAGCGCTATACAAACCTCACTATTATTATTGTTATTATTGGACGAATAGAGACATAGTTTATATCTATAGGTAATTACCTTGTTAAGATTTATGGAGACAGAAGAAGTGGTCTTTATTGACAGGTGGTCAATGAAGGCTTGTTTGACCGAGACTAAGATTAATCAGGGTAACTAAGAAAGAAAAAGAATTGTTTTTTATTTATATATTGGTGTTGGCTAAAGTATATATCACCAAGAAAAAACTGTTAAATGTACACAAAATATTGTACTTTTAGACAGAGGATAGAGTTTGCTTTTCACCTTTATTTGTTCAGCTGATTCTTATTCTTCAATCAAAAGGAGGCTTGTGAAGAGTTAGGTTTCATGATATGCCTGAATGGACATGTATATTATGTGTGTGAATTAAGAGGAAAGGTAAATGTAAATGACATTACTTTATAGTTTATTTTAGATTAAGAGAAGGTTTAACAGGACACAGACCTTTTGTCCTGTACACTGGAACATCTTTGTTCTAACATAAGGTGATTTGTTTCAATTCGTATAGATGCATCTAGAAAAAACATAACAAAATCCACATACGACAATTCTTTTACATTTCACAAAACTTTATTTTACTAGAAACACAAAACTTTATTTTTTACTAGAAATGTATTGTTTACTTTTAAGTGCATGTATATTTACAAATGTACATGTATTCTGTTGTAACATATCATACAAAATATTATTTATATACAATTCATGAATGTACAATTCATTAAGTTTGGCAAAATTATTTTTGTTAAACGTTCTGCTCTATACAGCTTTATTACCAAAAAAAGTAGCAACTATATAAAGATTTATTAAGATATAACAATATAGAGAAAATATGTTACCAGCATGCTCCATATACCTAAGGGATGGCTTAGTGTATTCATATGAATAAACAGGATATTTAAAAGACTCGGAATGAGGGATACTGTGTATGCTGTGATCAAGATTTAGATAAAAAGGGGAATAAACAAAATTATGAATTGCTCTACAACTATATAATTTTAATGACATTTTCATATTTGATAATAAAACTTCTAAAATATTTTCATTCATATTAATGTTTAATGATGAAAAGAATTTTCAGACTGATAGCAGCCACTGATTTATATTTAGTGTCAGTAATATGATCTGCAGTTTTTACAAAAGAAATTTGTAAAAATCTAAGGATTTTCTGAATAATTTTGCTGACCCATAACTGTGTAAAATTCTGTTCTGTGATCTAAAATTCCAGGAGGTTTGTATGATATTAATTTTATAATTGCTGGCCGTTGCAAGTGGTTGTTATGGCCCATGATGTGTAGATATTAATACATGTATAAATGGCAGATAGAAGTATCATACAAGTAGATATTATTATGATGATGATGATAATGATTATCAGTACTTGATTTCATAGTTGTATTAATTCTGATGCAAAATGGAGTTGAATTTTGTTTTATAGGTGCTAAGATCAAAAAATTATACATTAATGCAGAATGAAATTGAGTATGACTTTGTCACAAATATTACATGGCAGGGGGAGGGGGGGGGGGATGAAATACAACAAATAAGGTAAATATTTGTATGATATTGTCACTATTGTGGATGTACTTCTAGTCCCACTTGAAAGATGATGGGCCAGGGACTTGTTTCATGTAATTGGTCTAATACTCACTTGATACCAAGCGTTTTCAAGACCAAAGGTGTCCAAGACTTGGGTCTGGTATACTTTCAGTCCCTTACATCCTTTGGTTCCAAGTGTTTTCAAGACCAAAGGTTCCCAAGCCTCTGGTCTGGTAGACTTTTGGTCTCCGGCATCCTTTGGTACCAAGTGTTTTCACCAAAGGTTCCCAAGACTTAGCTGGTAGACTTTCGGTCCCCTGAACCTTTGGTCGCCTTAACCTTTGTGCTATTGGCCTATAAACTGGGTTGAATGTGAAATGGGTGATATTATTTGGGAGCTCCAAATGGTCTCCATCTCTGAAATTGAAGCGAATCATCAATCATGAAAATGTCAAATTGGCAACTGTGTCATGTGTCATAAACCGTTGTATGTATATTTCTCTCAATGTTTGATTAATTGAATGTCACAAAGTTCCACTCTCCCTCTAAAGAAACCTTTTCCTTGTACCTGCACCCAAGATACAGTCCATGTTTCATGTTTGTTCTTTGTCATATACATCACATGAATTTGTCTCTTCATGAATCATAAGCAAAGTCTGTATAATTAGAGAAAGAACTGTGGTAAAACGAGTCGGGGTTTATATTAGACTCAATGCTCAAAAGATTATTTTAGTAATGTAATCAAATTGAATGCACAACTCTATGTTAAGTGCCTCATTAAAAATTAGTTCAGTCACCTGTTACAAATAATTGTATTGCATACATTACATGTTGTTATGTAGAACAGGCCATAATGTGTATCCCTCCTAGCAACAATTAATGTATGGATTTGGCATTTGGACTATTGAAATACATGAACAATTATTCATATTAGGCGAATGAAATGATTTGACATGGCACTTATAAACAAAGATTTATGCATTAAATTTGATTACATTTCGAAAATGGTCTCTCCCATGTAATTCAATCAGCTTTATAGAATTATATGCATAATGATATGTCACATGGATTCCATTTAATAGACATGTACATGAATTTGTGTGTTGGACTACATATAAAGTGATGTAGTAATGAAAGTTTATCATGTTTACCATGAACATTTAAAGGGTACTAATCAATATTCACATTGTACTTCATAACTATACACCTTGTACTTCATGCATATTCACCTGTACTTCATGCATATTTATGATGCACAACTTGTGATCTTTCTATTTTATTCATACCTTGAATATGCCATGAATGAGCCTTCTTTAGATCAATTTTCTTTACATTTTAGTAAGATTTAGACAATGATTATTTAATGTAGAATGTGACAATCTAAAATTTCTTGCACATAGTTTACATGCTTATTTTTTAGATCTAAGTTTGGATATTGAAGTTGAAGTGATCGATGAATTGTAGTGTTAAGATGCTGCTCTGTGATATTATTTTGTTAAGAATCATTATGTGCAAAGTACAATTTAAAAACAGTTGTAATTATTTAAATTCATTCACATGACACATTCTAGCTTTGATTTACTGCATGTTAATTTGTATTTGCAGCCTGTTTTCAATACGCTCTTAAGAAATTGCTTATGCGTAAATCATTCCTTGTCATTCACTTTCCAAAGCTTTGTATTGTATTCAGATGTCACATATATACTTACTATTCATTGTAGACTTGATGCATATCTTTCTTTCAAACACATCTACAAACTCACTGATTCAGCAATTAATGATCATTTGTAAACGTGTTTTGATGAACTTAATGAATTTACACAATGGAACAGTAGAAAATATCTTTTATTTGGAGACAGAAAGGTGTTAACTCATATATTTGTATATAGAGTTAATTCCCTTCTAGCTCCAAAAAGGCAATATCTCTTTTGAGGTAAGGTGAGCGAGCTAAAAGTGTCTCATCAATCGTACAAACTTTGTGAAAGAGCAATGCAATATATTTCGAATTTGACTTATGACAACATTTTGTGATTGTCAGAAACAGGACAGAACATATGTTACGGCATACACATGTATAAGAAAATGTGTGATGTGAACAGACTTGAACACTGTACAGATGTATTTATCTTCATTTAAATTCCTAAATTTGCAGTTTAATTTATTTGTCAGCTTTCAACAGTTTGATTTGTGTGCTTTGGGAACTCTCATATAGTATTCAGATGTATAGCTTGTATTTGTATCTCGTGTAGTATTCAGATTTATAGCTTGTATGTGTACCTCATTGTCAAGTTAGTGTGCACATCTGAATTTTCTCCCGTCCTTTTTTCACTATAGAGTATTACTATAGCCACCTTCTTGCTTCTATTATGTTTAGTATTCAATTTATGTATCATTTGCTGAGAAACAGAAGGACTTTAACTCATTTGGAGGATCTGTGAAGCACATGGAACAAGAAGGATGTTCAAAGAATCGTCTTAAAGCCCCGCTGCACTAGTTTGGCCAGAAGGGATTAGACCTCCCTGCATGGTCACTGACAGGTAGTTATCTCATCAAATCAGCTCTCAATTAAAGTAAGAAAAAGGGGATCATGGGGACCAATGGTCACCGATTAGGCAACGTTTTCTATATAGAGGACGCAAGTAGCTATAAGTAGTGCAGTGGGGCTTTAAAACAAAACCATTGACTCCTTTCTTACACATTTCATTCAATGTTTCAAATATATAATTGTGAATTATATGCAGAGGAGCAGAACAATATCTACAAGTTGATATTGAATTTGTACATCTTTTTCTCCATGCGCTCTAAATTGAGTTACTCCCTTCTGTTTTTCTGCAGACGGTTTAATCGTGACGTGTTTAATGTTTGTTTAGTATTCTCAGGCAGTACATAGTCGATGTTGGGGAGATGAGTGGAAGGCAATGTTAATAATGTATT